GTGTCCATTTGAACTCCAGCATGGAAATAAACTCAAACTAATAGTTTGTACTAATTAATGATATCCTAATTATAAGCAACGCTTACCCAGTTATATTGTAAGATATCAGCTTAGTTATTTTTAACGTATCATATTTAATGTTAATTTCTTATTACGTACCAAAGTCTTGCATCCTCCAATAAAAATCAACCCCTCTAACCACTAATTTATTTGTTTCTTCAAGGGTATAATAAGTAGATAATTACGCTTACACAATATTCCTCGTTTATACTACAAGTAGAAAGCCAACTAGAATGTTTTCATACTCAAAAAGTCTGAGGAGGTCCACACGCGTGTTCTTCCAAGGAGACAATGAACAGCATAGATGGAAGCAAATCAATCTTCTCGACTTTCGATTGATCTCAAATTCTTCGATATATATATTTTATAATTGTTGTTCATAGGATCAATAGCCCTTCACATTTTGCAAGATTCAAGTGCATGTTATAATGAGTAGAAAAATCTTAGAAAACTTCTCGATGGAGGCTGAGTAAGGACAAGTAGACTACTCTAACTAGCATGCATGCATGTTCCCTATCCATTTGCTGGACTTCAACATTCTTAATCCACATTATATGTTTTCATTAATTGGATTATCTTCTTACCTCATTTTACCATATTGTTTATAATATATTTATAATTAAGTGTTAAAGAGAAAACAAGCTATGTGAAATGCTGTATTGGTTCATGTGGTAGCTAGGTTAATGTGTTAACTACTTAATCTAATTTCAGAAAGTATGTTATTTGGGAAAGAACTGGTAATGTTTCTTTCTGTTTTGTAATTGGTTATGTAGATATTTGTCTCTCAAATATTCAATAATTCCATATTAATCCCTTAAATCTTTAAAATTGCTCGTAAGTCCCTTCAATTCTAAGGGGCCCTACAACATGGTCTCCCAATGACCAAAATATCCCTCAACTAATGTTTTGATTTTCGGAGAAATTTGGTCGTCATTGAGGGACTCCGAAGGAATTTGAGGGACTTATGAGCAACTTAAAGATTTGAGGGGCTAATGTTGAATTATTGAAGAGTTAAGGGACTAATGTGGAATTATTGAAGACGTAAGGGACTAATATCTAAATAAACCTTTTGCAATTTAATTCTTTTGCTTTTCTTTTTTGCCCCTTGTTTTATCTGCTTTACTCAAATATGGTAAATTTCACAAAAGTCCCATTAACTTTGGATATTCTTGAGATAACCTCCTTAACTATTTTAATTTCACAAAACCCCCTAAACTTTGGGGGATTTTGCACATATGCCCCTTGATCTCTTTGTCTTTCATAAATTATTTGTAATCAGTCTGAGGTAAACAAATTTGGTATAGAGGATAGGGCTAATTTGGTATAGAATAGAGGTTGCAATAGGGGGCGGTCTGATAGCGTAAGTTAGTGGGCGATTTTCGTCATGCTATCTTGCGCTCCCGCCGGGTAATTTGGAGAAAATTTTGAGTTTCTGATGGCTAGGAAGAAGAAAAGTAGTGGGAAAAAGATATTAGAGATTGGATTGAGAGCCTCAAATCTGATTTCTGAGACATCTGATGATCATTCTGATGTCCGAAGTGATGATGATGATGAAGTTTTCATTGAGATGGGATCTACTGGTCCAAAAGGGGCAAAGAAATCTAGATCAATGGCTGACGTGCTGAATTCAAGCAATTTGCAGGGTGTTCGTGTTGATAGAGTACCAGTGAATCAATCTGGAGTTCTTGATCTCTCTGCTGGCTCTAGTAAATCCTCTGGACCTAAAGGTGTTCTTGATCGAGTACCTGTGGATGTTCAACTAGGATTTCTTGATCTCAATGCTGGTTCTAGTAAGTTCCAATCTCCTAGATCTAAAGGTGTTCTTGATCTTAGTAAGCTTAAATCTCCTGGATCTAATGGCGATCTCAGCAAGCGTCAATTTTCTGGTTTTCTTGATTCTAATGGAGGTGTTCTTAAATCTCCTGGATCTAATGGCGATCTCAGCAAGCGTCAATTTCCTGGTTTTCTTGATTCTAATGGAGTTCTTGACCGAAATAAGCAATCTACAGGTTCTAGTAGTTCGGTTAGAGTCTCCTGGGCAGATGAAGTGGATCTAAGAAAGGATAAGGAGGATTTCCAGTTGAATTCTCCTTTTTCTTTGAATACAGATCAAGCTGTAGAGGAAGCTTCTACTATATTGAATTCTGGTAAAAGAGATGTAGAAACGAGAGCCTCACCTAATGGAAAAGCTGAAAGCTATGGAAAGTTATGTGCAGAAAACTTGGAAAAATTTGTTGTCAGAAGTCTGCCTCCTTAAACCTGGACTGTTTCTGTTCAAATTCAAGAATGTTGATGAGATGAATGAGATTCTATGTAAAGGGCCATGGTTTTTTGGTTCAAGACCTTTGTTATTGAAGCAATGGTCCAATGGTGAGGAGATTGACAAAATTAAGGATTGTGTTTATCCTATGTGGATTCAACTCCCATCTTTAAGGCTTAACCTTTGGAATGCTAAGAGCATTTCTAAAATTGTTAGTACTATAGGTTGTCCTATTGCAACTGATAGACTTACTGCTAATAGACAGCGTTTGGCTTATGCGAGGGTGTTAGTTGAGGTTAAATTACCATCTCCCCTACCTGATCAGATCATCATTCAAGACCCAAAAGGGAAAAAATATTCTCAGAAGGTGATTTATGAGCTAAAACCTAAGTGGTGTGATACTTGCAAGCAGGTTGGGCATGACACAAAAACTTGTAGGAAACTTGTGAAAACACAGAGATGGATACCTAAGCAAAGTCAAAATCATAAACCTGGAAATATTGAGAAGGATGTGAATGCTACTCATGAACAGGGGAGTGATTCTCAGAAGGGCGATTCTAGTCTGATTGGAGTTGCTGTGCATGATAGCAGTGTACAGGCTGAGCATGTGCACTTTGCTAATACTGGTGAACAAATATTTGGACATGTTAATAATTCACATCTGCTTTCCAAGGAGATGATTGCTGAGGATGGGATAAGGACTGCAATTCAAGCCTCCAGTTCTGGACAGCAGGCTGTGCACAGGTCTGTGCATGTGGTGCATGTCAAAGAGAAATGTCCAGAAGATAATCTGAGTCCAGGTTACTCTACAAAAGGGAATACTCCATGGATTCAAGTTCAAAATGGTAAAAAGAACAAGGATATTATACATGGTAACTCCTTCTCTTATCTAAATACTTTGGATATTGATCCTTCTACATTAGATAGAGGGGGAGGGGGTGATCAATGATGAATCTATCATTTTGGAATATTAGAGGATTAAACAAATCCTCTAAACAACACATGGTTAAGCAATTCTTATCTCAGTATCATCTTTCTTATATAGCCTTGCTTGAAACAAAAATTAAAAGTGATAGGATTCAGAGTGTAGTGCAGAGAATTGCTAGAAACTGGAATTGGATATCCAATGCCAGCAATCAAAGTAAAGTTAGAATACTGATTATGTGGGATTCAAATGTGTTTGGAGTTCAAATCATCAATATATCTGATCAGAGTGTCACATGCAAAGTCAACTCCTTAGATGGCAGAATGGAATGTATTATTACATCAATCTATGCTTTTAACCAAATGGAGGCTAGGAAGGTGTTATGGGATGAATTGAAGTCTGCTCAACAGTCAATAAGGAATGAACCATGGCTACTATGTGGGGATTTCAACACTGTCATCAACAGTGAGGAGAAGATTGGAGGATCAATAGTCTCTGAATCTGATACTAAGGATTTCAGAGATTTCATTGATGATTGCCATCTAAATCAACTTAAAACTACAGGATGCTTTTATACTTGGAATAATAAGCAGGATCATGATTCTAGAGTGTGGTGTAAACTGGATAGGGCTTTGGTGAATGATACATGGCTTTTTAAGTACAATGCTAGTCAGGTTGAGTTCTTGCTGCCTAATTGCTCTGATCACTCACCTGCATTAGTAACAATTTTTGAGGATTGCTCAAAAGGAAAGAAACCTTTCAGGTATTTCAAAATGTGGTCTAAACATGACTCCTTTATTCCTGTTGTGTCTGCTATTTGGCAGACAAAAGTAGAGGGGTTTAAAATGTATACAGTATGTAAGAGGCTTCAGCTGCTGAGAGGAGCTCTTAAGGAATTAAACAAGAGGCATTATGCTAATATCAGTGAGCAGGTTCTGAGAGCTGGAAGGGCTCTTGAAGAAGCTCAGGGCAGGCTGCAAAATTCCCCTCTCAACCCAGAGTTAATTAAAAATGAAAGGGAATGCATTGCAAATTACAATAAACTTTTGGATTGTGAACTATCTTTTCTGCAGCAAAAAGCTAGAATTAATTGGAGTATTCAAGGAGATAGGTGCACTAATTTCTTTCATTCCAGGATCAAAGCTAATTGTCATCAGAATAAGGTGCTGACTCTATTCAATGCCTTAGGTCAGAGAATTTCTGATCAAGAGGAAATAGCTAAGGAAATGGTGTTATACTACAAGGACCTATTGGGGTCAGATACAGAAACTATCACTCCAGACACTCATGTCATTCAGACAGGGCCATGTTTAACTGTTGCTCAAGTTGACATGCTTTCCAAGCCTGTTTCTAGAGAGGAAATAAAAAGTGCAATATTCTCAATGGATGAAAATAAAGCACCAGGACCTGATGGGTATGGAGTTGCCTTCTATAAGTCTGCCTGGTCTGTGATAGGACAGGAGGTGATTTTGGCTATTGAGGAATTCTTTAAAAATGGTAAAATGCTGGGAATGGTAAACTCTACCTCTATCACTCTTATTCCTAAGATAAAATGCCCAGTTTCTCCCTCTGATTTTTTTGAAGAAAATGCTTGAAGGTCTGGGTTTCCCTAGAGTGATGGTCAAATGGATTTTGGCTTGCATCTCTTCCCCTAGATTTTCTATTTCCCTAAATGGATCTCTTCATGGCTATTTTGAGGGTAAGAAGGGCTTAAGGTAGGGAGACCCCCTTTCTCCATATTTGTTCATCTTGGGGATGGAATACTTATCAAGGAAATTGGAGCTTTTAAAGGAAGATAAATTGTTCAGATATCATCCTATGTGTGGCAAGCTCAAAATATCCCACCTAATTTTTGCGGATGATCTTCTGCTTTTCGCCAAGGGAGACTTATATTCAGTCCAAAAACTTTATCATTGTGTGAAGGATTTTAGTGCTACTACTGGTCTGGAAGCTAATCTGAGCAAATGCTCAATTTACTTTGGAGGTGTGAATGAAAATACCAAAACAGCAATTACAGTGTTTGGGAATAACAATGATTTTGACTATTTTCTTTACAATTAGAAGGGTTAACTCTTATTCCATCTAAATAGGAGTATTAGTAAACCACTCATTTTGAGGGGTTAACTCATTTTAACCCCTCTAGAGGGGTTAACTTAACCCTTCTATTGCAGGAAGGCTTCAAGTGATCAAAAGTGAGATATTAGGTGTTCAAAATTACTGGACAACCAATTTTGTTCTTCCTGTCAAAGTCACTCAGAAGATAGATGAGCTGTGCAGGAAATTCTTATGGGGGAAGTCTGATACTACTTTCAGAATCCCATTGGTCTCATGGGATAAAGTTTGTTATCGGAAAAAACAGGGTGGTTTGGGAGTTTTCTCTGCTTCTATTTGGAATCTGTCTTCAGCATTAAGGAGCCTATGGTATATACATGTTAACAAGGAAAGTTTATGGGTGAAATGGATCCATGGGAATTATTTAAAACATTGGGATATATGGTACGTAAAGGCTAAAAAAGAGAATTCTTGGATGTGGAAGCAGCTGATTAAGTGTAGGGACAGAGCTGTGGCTGCTACTGGAGGGATTGACAACTTGAAGAAGACTCTCAGTGCTTGCTATAAAGATTCTAAATTGCAGTTATCTACAGTTTACTCTGTTTTCTCCCCTGGTTCACACATTGTTCCTTGGTACAACACAGTATGGGGAAAGCTGAATTATCCGAAGCACACATTTGTTCTGTGGCTTGCTGTGCAGAACAGATTACTCACACATGATAGGTTGATGAGAAGAGGAACCATTAATTCAAATATATGCCTACTATGTGCAGGAACTGCCTCTGAAACAAGAAACCATTTGTTCTTTGATTGTCCATTTTCAAGAGAGGTGTGGTTAGCCATCATGGACTGGCTTAGAATGACTTGGCAATCTTGTGAATGGGAATTGCTCATGAATTGGTTCTACACCAGACAAAGGGGGAATGGATTCAAAACAAATGTTAGGAGGTTGGCTCTTGCGGCTACTGTGTACAGATTGTGGATAGAAAGGAATAACAGATTTTTTCAAAAAGGAGTTACAGGTGCTGCTCATTTGGTTAAGAATATCAAATTTGATATCTTAACTATTTGCCTAAATAGTTCTATCTTAGATGAATATAGGGATTGGATAATATCCTTGTAAGTAGATAGCTTTCTGTTAGAAACTCTGTTTTCTCAATTGGAGACTGTGATGTACATAAATTCTATATATTTGGTAAATGAATAAAGCATTTTTTCATTGACCAAAAAAAAATAATTGTGGTTAGACTCCTTGCAGTATGATGCAATTGCAGAAATACTCTCTGTAGTTCTATAGTGCAAATAACATTTGTACTATTTGTCCAAATGTAGATAGATCCTCTCAATGACTTTTTTTGCCCCTCTAAAGAGTTATAAATTTTTTTTAGTAATTAGGGATAAAACTAGAGAGGGTCCATTTGCCTCTATGAGGTTCTCGACTCTTTTAGAGTTAAAAAAATCACTGAGTGGTCTATCAATCCACGCAATTGGAAGTATAGGGGGTATATTCTCAATCTGATGATACTAACATAGGATAATATGGATGGAAATTAAAGAGCTAGCAATTAAACAAGAAAAGTAAAACCTTAGTTAACAGAAACCATAGGCTTTGATATTCCTAACAAATAGAGTGATCCTGTTGCCTTCATGTCTAAGTTTTGAGTCAAATCACTTTTGTTAAAAAACTCAGAACAATCATTAGCAATAAATTCAGCATCCACTCAAGTATGCTGGATTTCATTGGACCA